CTAAGAATTGGTCAGTTTTTACTGTTTTGAATTTACTCGATAGAGTAATTATTTTGTAATTGGTCAAGAAATTTTAATTAGTAAAACTGGTCAACAGCTTCAATTAAAAACTAATTAGATCAAATAAAAAAGGGAATAAAATAACGCTTGGAATTATGGAATTTAATAATAATAAATATTTAAAAAATAAAAAAGATTAAAATAAATAAAAATAAAATTATTTTAAAAAGTCAAAAAGGATAATTCGATACATGTTTTCTTCATTTAAAATATTATTTTCAAATATATGACATATAACGAATATGTCAATAATAATCTAATTGTTATAAAATGTTGTTACTAACAACAATATAATAATTCAATTTACTGTTGTAAAAAAGCAATTATAAAAATAAATAATTCTGTTTAGCTTTCGTGTTACAATAAATATTATTTCTCTAGTCATTAGAAACTGCCCAGAAACTGGTGAATAACTGGCTAAATTTATTGCTCAGTTACTACACAAACAAATGTCGTTCAAACTGATCAAATACTGGTATAGTAATTAAAATTCCTGGTCAGTTACTAGCTAATTTCTGGTTGGTTTCTACTTGGATGTTTACTGCACAATTTAGGGAATATGCGAGTAAATAATAATTTTCTTTTAAGGGTATAGCACACAAAAAATTTAAACATTAAGGAAATCAACATGTTGGATTTGCTACTGCTCACGTTATGGCCTGACATGTTCGACTGTGATTGACCAATTCCTCATCTAGATGTCCAAGGGATGTTTTGAAGAACATCCCCCAGAATGTCCCAACGTTCTGAGAACGTTCACAGGATATCTGAAATAAATACGTATGAGCGTTTACAACTTACGTTTTATTGTTTAATTTTTTTTGTGTGTGTATACTACATGGCCCTTACAGTCGCAGTCGAAAGAAAGATCTAAGAATGTATAAAGCGCGTGAATATAGAGACTCGACAAGATGCAGCCATGCTGTGCTGCTGCATAATATATATGTATAGAAACGCGTAATACCACTATTTCATCATGCTCTTCGGCAAGGTACAATAATGAGATTAAACCCGAGTATGAGCGCGAAAGTTCGGATAGCATGCTTTCGCGTAATCGGCGTAACCATTATGCCATGGATGGTATTCGGTTGTTTTACTGTATAGAAGTCCTCGACGGGAGGACTCGAGCTAGGCGATGTAAGAGGATTTACATGCGATGTTATTTTCGCACTAAGCAGCCTGAGGCTCTTACATTTTCTTCGAAGCACGAGAATGTTTTAATAACTCACGTTGCTATTCATGGAAGGGGATTGTCGCGTTATATAAATTATACATAGAATTTTATACATAGAAAATAAAAATCTAGCACAAAAATAGGTTCGAGGATTCAGTACGTACTCGCAGATCTAATTCAGAACCATGTGTTTAAATTATACCGATTTTGCAAGCTTGCACAAAATTTTCACGAACAAGTAAAAGTTGAATATTTCTTACGGTTTGTTCGCTTTCAACTTCGATCGAACTTTCGGGAAGTAAATACGCGCGAAGCGCGAGATTTTTCGTGCCATGGGAATAAAATTTGCAGTTTCGCGAGCTTCGAACTGAAAGTGAATAGTTCTTTTTAGCAAATTCGGAAAACTGCTCGGTGTGTTGGTGCGTTTTCTCGAAAAGCATTTAATTTGTTCCTTTGAGCTGCTGCCAAATGTAACGCCATGTCAGCAAAACGCTGCATTGCTCTGTAGAATGAAATATTATAATAGATTTCTGGAAATGTCATGCAACGTGTTTAGCATCAAGGTGACTGTTAATGTAACGGTATCCCGTTAATCGTTCGCAGCTACAGTTCCTATACACCGAGACATTTATCTACGTACGATAATTATAAAAGCAATAGCTCGTGTTGCTCTTGGTTTATTCATGCAGAGAGATTTGCATATCAACGATAACGTAATGTATTTAGTAACTGATATTCTCATGATATTGACTTTAACGTTATACACGATTCGTGATTATAATAAGAGAAGTAACTGGCTTTTCCAACCTTAACGAGCACACAAGACATTGTATAATTTTCCAAATAAAAAATAATTTTTATTCAAGAAATATAGACGCAAAGATTACATCATTATTCAAAGTTTCTGGTAGAAATAAGTCCAATTTTCTTAGACATCCAATTATTATACTATCTAGTATTACTATATTCTCATTAGTTGTAACAATATTTTGCATAGAAAATGAACAAGAACTCACTAGAATTTTATTCAGTATCTAACTAAAACAGTTTTCTCGGGAAAAATATGTGCAATTTATATAGACACCTGTCCAATCATTGTCTAGTATTAATATAGATTATTATTAGTAAAGTGCTGCGTAGTCCATTTATTGTTCCATTTTTTTTTCAATAAATAGATTCAGATTTTGCATATCTTTTGTGTACAGAAATTGCAGAACGTTACATCTATAGATTGGGATTCTAAGTAGTTTCACTTCTCAATTACTAGACTATAGTATAAGTATATAAATATTCAAAAAGTTAATATAACTGTTAATATAATGTAGGTACTAGAAAAGTTAATCCAACTGTTCAGTAACTAGTAAAAAAAATGCATGAAGTTTCTATGAGAAAGATTCTTCGAAGAATGACCGTCTTTAGTATTTTCCTAATCACTTTCGGATAAAAAAGTATAAGCACATCTAACATTTTCCGGCTCAATGTTAAAATAAAGAAATCCAGACGTGATCCCTGTTCGAAACTGCGCTTGTAGAAGGTTTCAACTTTGTCGTAAATCTTCGAAAGAAACTCGAGCCTTGCTTCTATACAACTCGTTTCACAGTGGATCCAAATAGGTAAGATCTAGATAGATGATGTTTTCTACACTCAACCGAAGCCATTGGGATAAGAGAGTACCCCGTATCCGCGACAGGTCGCGGTCTCGCGTGTTGCCGCCGATCTGCGCCCCACATCGGATTCTCCACCCGCACCCTCTCGCTTAGGGTGCGTTCAGTCAGCTTCGAGCCGCGAGTGGGGTAAGTTGCGTCGCGCGCCGGCTCGCTGGCCCTTCGCAGAGCGAAGCACTCAACGCCGCCCCGCGCACATCTCTCATTCTCGTCCGCCGATAACGAGAAGTACAACCCCCGACGATCGGCGCATCGTCGCGCGCCGATTCAACCGGCGTGGCGCGGCGCGCTCGCGTAAAAAGGCTTGCGAGGATCGAGAACGCGGGTGAATGCATCGTGAAGCGCATTTCGCTAGCTTTTCCCCGGCTTGGTTTGCACGTTTTAATTCTTCTCTTTCACGGAGGGACTCGCCCCAAACTTAATGACGGCGGCAGAAGGAAGCGGCATCGGTGGTAGAGTCACGCATCGCATGTGAATGCGAGCGGATAATTTCATCATGCTTGAGGTGAGTTCTCGTGTTCCTCCATTCGATCTAGCTCGCGGCGTGACTATGACTGCGCAATTTCTTATATAACATAACCGTGAAAGACCCCTTGGAACGGAAAAAGCTCTTGTTGAGTTTTGCAATCATGATTGAAAGTCGCTTCTCGTCAGGTTGATATGTTCGTTGTATTTTCACGTTCTATGTCTTCTTTTAGTTATGGATGTTCTTTGATCAATTTTAAATCAATTTTTTTTCACGATGAAAGTATTAATGCAAATCAATATTTTCCAGAGTTTTAAATCTAACAATAAGACTTCCGATTAAGTCTAAATAAATGATAAAACCTGCGTTTAATTCTCAGGGCCTTTCAACAGTATTTTATTTCTTATAATTTAACTTATTTTTTAATTTATGATCTTTAAAGTCTTATACCCGATTACAATGCATTATGCCAACATAAGTGATAAAAATCATAGAAAGAAAAATATTTAATGCTCTTTCGAAACAAGTATCAGTATTTCGAAGATGGCAGTTGTCAAGTTCTATATAGGCGGGAAACGTAGAAGAATTTTAAGAAGAAGTTCATTTAAGAGAGCTCAGTATCTGCATTTTTTCTTGTATCTTTTTTCAACAAAGTTTATGTAAACTGGTGATTGGCCGTTGACCCTGTTTCGCGACGTAATTTTGTTTCGTTTGAACCAAAAGTCGATTTCTCACTTCGCGATAAATGAGGAAATTTGCGTGGCCAATAAACGACTGTCGATTCTGAATGTTTGAATGGAGACGCATGATCGAACGGAGAAATCGAATGGACTGTCGAATGTGAATTGCAGTGTCGAAGTACGACAGCACGAGCAAATCTCTTAAGTGGGTCAACAAGTTGAACATTCTGTAGGCAGAGTGTGGCTCGATTTTGTATTCGGTGGCACGTTGTGATACGATGATAAGAGTCGAAAACGTGAATAGCAATCGTTCGTTTGACCGTTAAAAGCCTTTAGAAATTTATGATTGGAACGAATAACTGAATTAATACGTTTTAAATTGCGGATCGAAAATTAATGGATGAATGTTGCATGTAAAAAAATAAGATAATCTATCGTATGTAGACATTCAGACGTTATTTTCTGACAAGTGTTTAACATTTGTACACTGAAGAAAATTTCTGGTTGGAGAGAAATGAACAGATCAGAATTTTTTAATTAAATTTATTAAAATTTTAATTGCGGTAATCAGAATTCTGATTGATGCAATATTTCTGATAAAATCTACTAAAATTCTTATTTTTACTAGAATAATTATTGATCAGAATTCTAGTAGATTTAACCAGAAAATTGTGAGTCGTCCATTTTCCACCATAATTGCCATTTGATCCAATTTTGTCAGGATAGAGAATATATTTAGCTATATATATATATATATATATATATAATGATGACATAGCAGCGATGACATTCTAATACATACAATTTTATTCATTTCGTCATAAGAAAAGAAACTCGAGGCTTTTCTTAATCATCATTCTCGTCGTCTTTTCCGACTTGTTGACGTGAAGAAAGACAGACATAAACCGAGATTCCGCGCATTAGTATTCAGCTCCTCTGACACGTTCATAATGCCGCAAATACACGACCGTACGCCATGACGAATTACACTAAAAGCTGCCAACGATAATAAGCTTTTTACGTTCACTGATATTCTTACTGCTTTTTTAAAGGCAGTTGCTGTTCGTTCCCTCGAGAATCTCCTGTGATATTAACTTCCTATCTCCACCCTCTCATACATTTTGCGCGTGGCACACTCCGTGTAGAAAAACGAACATTTGCGCTCGCAAATATTCCTTCTGTCAAAGTTTCGGATCATAAATTCTCGGCGATAGTATGTACGCGTTTTAATATTTACGAATGGCACTCACTCGCGAGCACTCGCATACCGTATAACTGCGGCCTTTATGTATTATTCGACGCCCTAAGATTTACCATGAAGTCGAGCGGATGGTAGAGCAATTCGAGTTGTTTGCGCACACGCTGACTAGAGTTTAGAATAACAACAATAAGACGAAGTAAAAAGAGAAAACGAGAGAAAAGAAAAAGAGCAAATAAAAGAGAAAGAGAAAGCGAATGCAAAAATACAATAAAAGTTCTTTTTTGGAGCTTTTAAGGTCTTCAAATGCAAGTTAATACAATGAAACTGAATCATATATTCGTAGCGCGCCTTGTAAACAGATTTAATTATATATATGACGATATTAATATAACTGAGAATTTCGTTAATATAAAAGTGATGTTAAAAACGGACCGATCAATTTCGCGCTCTATTTTTGCCACGATCGATCGTGGGTGCCATCGAACGTGCCATTAAAATGACGAGCATCAACGTTGCGTTCACCCACGTTGTCTCTTCTTTCTATTTTTTTTCACTTGTTACTATGCCGGTCGTTCCGAAAGATTTCGTTATATACGTGATCAAAGACGCGTCGCTTTCGGATCCCTGAGATTTGCCTGCACAATATGTTTGCATAATGCACAAGTTTACATTTCTCGGTAACCCGTAAAGCGCCTTTACGGCCCCAGGAGATAGTTATTGCGCGGGAGGAGGATAATACTTTTCAACTGGACTTTATTACATCCACGGGTGCATCCTGCATCGCACCCGTATGTCTCTCCTTGCGCTAAGTTCTATTTTCGTTGCGCCATATCGATCCCGCTTACGCTGTTTGAAGTCGTAAGACCGCGTCGTTGGCCATGCCGGATCTCTTTTGCCAATGGCGGAATTAAGCGAGGGTATTTGTCGCGTATCAGCGAGAAAAGAAAAGGAAAAGGGGAAAAGAGAAAAGAGAGAGAAGAGTGACGCTAATACCCGAGGGGATAAAAGCAGACATACGTGTAAATCAGCTCGAGCTCGTATTTTAAGCGAACTCTCGTTTTGTGGAGCGCAAGACGCACGCAAATAAATCGCCGTATGTCGTATATAAATGTCGTATGTCGAAAGAGTGGGATACGAGTATTTACGATTTATCGATGTGTGTTCAATCTTTTCAAATATGAATACTCAGTGTGTCAATTCTAAATAAAGGATATATCTCTTTCATATTTGCATATTTAAGGATATGCGTTGGCTTTCATATTCCTTTATATTGCGTTGCAATAATCGAGCTTGAATTTTTTTTATTGCGTTCGAAACATTATTCACTCGTCATTCAAAACATTTTCGTCGCGGTTGTTGCAAGTTGTTAAATCTGGCGTTACATATTTTTCCTTTTTGCTTCACGATATTATCTACCGGAGTGAAAACTTTTCATATAACGACATTGCAATTCTCTGCGAAATGAATTGTGAAAATAGTAAAAACTAGTAAAAACAGCTATAGAGTCATTCTTTCTTCTTCTCTTTTTTATGCTGCAGTAAAGCTGTTCTGCTTTAAAATGTGAACGTGGCTCTAAATATGCTACAGTCGCCTGACGTAGGAATCAAATTTAAAAATTCTTAATGTGCCGTCCCATCCGCCGAGTCAACTCCGTCACAGTGGTCGAGCTTGATAATTAAACCGACATGGCTGTATTAATATCATAATAAATGACTCTAGGCACAATCTTCATTATATCTTTTTTTAATCATTTACGCATAATGCCCTAATTAATGAGTAGCTGGTATATATCAGAATTTCTGTATAATTGATGAAGCTTTTTAATAAATAAGCTCACAAGATTGGCACTTTTTAATTAACTGTTGAGGCAATATCTATATGAATTTTTACTCTTAAATTTTAAATCTTTAGAACCTTAAAACGTTTTATGTTAATCTCTGTAATTATGTCAGCCATCGATTTCCTCTTCAGAAAAAATTCAACTATAATTTTATTCAGAATTTCTCAAAATATGATGCGTAATTGCACGTCAGAGAGGCTCGATAAATTATATTTAATTATATATATATATATAATAGAATATATGGAATAATAACATTTTCCGGAGAACTCCACGAGTGTCAAGAATATCCAACAGTTGAGAATATTTACACTCGAATTTCCCTTATAGCGATCTTTTATCGACATCTAGTGTTTTGCGCATTTCTACGGAGATTTTGTCGTATGTACATTAAATCTGGATAAATGGGAAACGTGCGTGATAATATACGAAAGTACTGGCAAAATGTTGAGTTCGTCAATTAACAGTTGTGCCTATTGATGGTCAGGTTAATTATTATAGTTAACAGAGTGCTCGCTATGACAGAATCTCCCTTTGCTGGAACGGAGTAATTAATTGCTAACTGGTAACAAAGCTTGCGGACACGCACCGAGGACGACGGCACTCGTCATTAATTGAGAATCCAATCGAAAGTTACATTGTACTTTGACTATGTGCAATACAAGTCGAGTCGGAGCGCAGAGATCCGTTTTCATGTGTTCCATTAAAATTTCTCACACTCTACTGGATCATTTATTTACATATTCCTTCAAGTAGGATTATTTCAAACTCGACACGTAAAACTTTATCCTGTATTTCAATTAAATTTTATTCTTGATTTATTTTAGGTGAATTTTATTTCGAGACACGTGCGAGCAAATATTATTTTTGTAATCGTATTTATAGGTATTTCTATCATTTTTATAGATATTATTTATATTATACAAGATGATTAGATATCTGTTCCGATTTTAATTTTAACCATTAGAGAGGACGAAAATCTATTTTTTAAATCTCGGTTTTTCCATGAGTAACATGAGTAAGATTTGTCATAATTCGTTATTTAATTGTATTCTTTGCCTAAAAATATAACACTGTTTTAGCGCCACTATAATGATTTTCCCGTCCTGTAAAGGTTAATAATTATAATCCACAAATAAAAATTATGAAGTAGCATTTAAATTTATCCACTTTGTAAACGCAATAATAGTAAGAAGATAGCGTAACATTTTCATTATTATTATTCGCGGATCCAAAACCTCGTTTCTATAAGGATTTCAGTACGATATCGTAAGTTTGAGAGAAACTTTCCGTTTACACATTTTCTTTCGCGAGAAAT